TATATATATATATATATAAAACTTAGATAAGCATAAGAATTAGTTATATTTATTGGTCCAATTTTTAAAATTATTTTACAATGAATTTAATTTAATTTAAATTTAAACACTCCTAATAATTGTCAACAGAGAAAATGACTTGTCAGTTATCACATGAGGAAGAGATAGCGGCCACCGTAAGTACATCCTGCAAACGAGGCAGAGCACAGATGCAGAAAGGCTGTGTGAGAAAGTACTAGAAGCTTAAGGAGAAAGCTACAAAATTTAGGTAATTCATAATGAGAAATGTCATATTTAAACCATAAAAAATATATAATATACTTTATATTTAAGAATTTTTTTATATTAAATTTTAACGATTTAAGTATTAAATTAAAAAATTTTATTATATAAATGAAATTTGCATATTTTTTTAAATTTTTAAAATTATTTAATATTTTATTTTATTAATTTAAATTAATGTATAAAATATTTTAATAATTATTTATCAATTATAGTTAATAAAATAAAGTATCCAATAATTTTTAAATTTTTTAAAAATTTACAAACTTGATTTATGCATTCAGATATTTTAATTTAATAATTGAATCGTTAAAATTTGATGTAAAACATTAGTCATGCGCTTGGATAGAGACTTACCATTAGAGTAAGTACATCTCTCTATCAACATTTGTTTACTTATCTAGTGCTACAATTGGTTTTCAAGCTTCAATGTCTTGGGTTTGAGTTTTGTGTTTGATAAAAAATGACGCTGAAAGAGATAACCTTAATGTAGTCAAGGTCTCAAAGAAGACTAGTTACCATGAAGCCAATAGAGACTCATGCCACGTTGAATTATATGACACTAAGTGTAAGTTTGAAACCTTACACAAAATATTATATACCTTCAATAATTTTTTGTATAATATAAATTTAATATATCAAATCATTGAATTATATGATATTACATCCATAATCATGTATATGAAAACTTAATTATAAACACTCCCTTATAAGACTATTACTATTATCTTTTCCACAACTATTAATATCATCACCATCATCGTTCTTGTTATTTTTGCTAGTAGTGATGGTAGTGACAATAATGTCAATGGTGGTGATGGTAATTAGAGTTGTTAAAAGGGATAACCTGGCCAACCCATCATGAGTTGAATAATAGATAAACCAATCCAACCTGACTCACCTTTAGGTAAACTTAAAAAAAAACTATATTGACTCAATTCATCACAGGTTGATAGGTTAAACGAGTTAACTTACTTAAATTAAAAAATATAAAAATGAACAAAATAATATTGAATTTTATAATATATATATATATATATATATATATATATATATTATAAAATTCAATATTTTTTTGTTTATAAATATAAAAAATAAACATTACCCACAACTAATTTAATCAACTTATAAAATTAAAGTTGTTACGTAAAATATTGACAAATAATATTAAATCGACACTAATTATCATAATTCATAATTAGTATATACAAAATTTTAGTTAATAATAAAAATGTATAATCACATGAATTAACATTTGAAAATATAAAATTAAAATAAAAATAAAATATACTAGGTGAGTTAACTCGACTCACCATGAATTAGTTCATGGTGAGTCGAGTTGTAAGTGAATTAGGTCAAATTTTTCTTATAATTAGAGTGAGCTAAAATGTTTTGGCCTAACCCAACTTAAACCGTAGCGAATCGATTTGACTTATGGGTTTCGACTTATTTTGAAAACTCTAATGGTGATAATGGTAACAATATCACTAATATTGTCGTTATTATCATCACTATTACTGTTCTCACTACTTAGTCCTAACAACAATGATAACATTGCTATCACCACTGTCACCCCTTGATAGTGGTAGTGACTACACTTATGACGATGGGTGATGATGATATTAATAGTGAAAAATAATAATAATAATAATAATAATATGATTATTAATAAGATGTGATAATTAAAATTTTAATTATGATTATTAATTATTTTTTATTTTTATTTTTAATGATATATCACTTAAATATAAATAAATATTAAACTTTAATGATTAACGTATTTTATTTTAATTATGAGTTAAAAATTTTTATTTTTAAATTTAAGAGACTTAGTGTTCTTATTTTAAAATAAAAAGACTAAAATAAAAAATAAAAATATAAAAATAAAAATATAATTTAGTCTTAACAAATAAATTACATTAAATTATGTGACAAGGAAACACATGTGTTTATATTTATACATTAGAATTAAAACAACAACCATATAGGTTAACCTTAGGGCTTAAAAGGATTACTTATAGGGAAATAACAATTGTTCTAGAATGTGAAGTTGGGCCAGACTTTGTGAAGGGTAATATAGTAAAAGAAACGTGTTATAATTTTAGAGGTTTTGAGCCACTCATATGGACGTTGATATTTTGGAGCTGATGTTACGTAAAATCAGTTCTCGTTGGCCGATTTTTTTAGGGCCAATCAATGAAGAACAAACACGTGGGTGGTACTGTTGAAACCAACGAGGCATCACGGTTGTCACACGTTAATTTTCATGTTCTCTTCTTGTAAATGTTTCCTTATTTTCATTGTGATTTTGTGGTAGAGTGAGTGGGTGGCTGGTGGCTTGCCATTGTTAAGTTGAGTGGTACTTAATAGATAGAAAAAGAAAGGACAAAGTGAAACAATGAATAATAATGTCCTTTCTTTCTTTTAACAGACACCAATTCTCCTTTTTCAATTTTCACCATCAAAGAACAAATTAAATATAAAATCATTCTTAATAAAATTTTTCATCCCTTCATTTTCACTTTCATTTTAAGATAATTTATTATTATATAGAAAATTTAATTATTTACTTTACAAGAGAGAATTTTTTTATAAGTTTTTGAGTCTTTATTAATAATTTTTTAATTATAAATTATTTTAAATATGAACTAAATTTATTTAAATTACTATAATTAATTTTCAAGTTAAATAGAAAAAAAATAAAACTCGGTTTACACTCATCTCTAACATACTTGTCAAGCACGGGAAGAGAATACTAATTATAATAATAATATCTCCCCAAATTAATTAGTAAAATATATGGTAAAACAAATTTTCCTAATATTTAACACGAGTTAACACTAAACATTTAAATTTAACTAAAACGTGTAAGGTTATCTAAAATATATAATCTTCTTTAATATGATGGATGAATGATTTTATAATGAATTTTTTTTTTAAAAATAGTCAAGGAGATTTCTAATATTAATTAATGAAGAGTATGAAAATTTATACATGAAAATTAAATTCTAAGACAATTTCCTATTTATTAGGTAAGAAAGCTCTTATTAAAGCGTCCCGAAATTGTTATCCACATGTTTAGCCTTCTTTTTTATAAGCCAATAATTTAAAGTGATATATAGTCTAAGGCGATAAGCACAAAAGATTTGAGATAAAACTCTACTGTTTACCAAAACATAAATAACTATTTTTAATTTTTTGAGGGAGGGGGAATGAATCCTGCTTTCTTTTTATCGGTTATGAATTATTCTTAGCTACATATTGCAAAGCATGTCTTATCTTTCTTCTACTATTTGGCTGACACCACAAATATGTAGCAACATTATCGTTCAACTTGACATCCTATTCCAAGGCCTATAATAAGTAGAGTATATATAGTAAATTACAATGACATTTTTATGAGGATTCATGAAACTATAGATAAATATCTTCATTTTTTTTTTTTTACTTTTACACAAACGTCTCTCAATTATTATTTAATAAAATACATGACAGTAATACATTATAAACATTATAATGCAGATGTTTATATGCATTCTCACCAAATATCAAATAGTAACAGCATAATTTACTCTAATGTTTTATTAACTTGTGCATGTTCATGTTGCCAATTCATTTGTCCACTTTCGAACCTCCCTTGCAGTGTTGCACACCATCATGATATACCTAACCAACCCTGCCAAAAGGGAAGCTCCACCAACCAGTCAATCAAACATAATTGAACACTTTCCTTTTCACACGAGACAACATAATATGCATGATAATTGAAAAAAAAAAAGACAAAGAAAGTTTGAACATTGTTTCAATTTTACTTACTTTGAGCAATCCATGCTATCAGAGATGGGAAAGCTGAGGGTAGTGTTGCACATAAGGGGAAGATCCTGTATCTTGGAGGGCTCCATTGCAGGTGTCATTCCCCTAACCATGACCTCAATGCACCAACAAATGGTTCTGGGGCCTGTCCTGTTACTATGAGCCAGTGTGTTCAGCTTTGCAACGTGTTTGCAGCATCTTGTTGATGGCACAGGGAAATTTGGATCCCCCATTAGGAATTCCAAGCAATAGGGGAAGTATTCAAATACAGGCTCACAAGCAGAGAAAATAGTATCTTTAGCCTCACCCACATGTGATACACAAACCAGACACACTGCTAGTACTACTAGAATGCGACTCATACCCATTATTCAGTACGAGGTTAATCTTAGATGTTTATTTTTATTAATTTCTAATAACTAGACTTGCTTTTAAATGAAAAATTGTTAGATGGTTTAGATCATTATAGTACTAACTAATTTTCACATAACACGTAAACTAGTCTATTATTAACTCTTTATATAATCCAATGACATATACTTAGTTCTTCCAAAAATGGCTGCAATTTAACTTTTAAAAAGATCTTTTTTTCTATTTTTTATTTTTTTATTTTAATTTTCAGTGTATTATTAATTATTAATTTTTTAATTTATTCTCTCGTAGATTTTTCAACCATCTCAATTAAAAGCAATACATTTATCATTGTTTTTAACCTATATATATATATATATATATACACATCTATATTATATATATAAATATAAATTTGTAATATTTTGGTATGGAACGAACGATAATTTCTCCTATTTAAGACATGCCACATTTATGTTCCTTAAAATCCTGAAAACCGTTGAATTATACACATTCCCCAAACGAAAGAAAAATGTCATGTAGGATGTAGTTTGTGCATGCGAAGAAATTAAAATTACAATTGCTTGCACCAAATGCTACTACTGCCATATTATCAGATTTTGTAGATTAGGCTAGCCACTCCACTTTCATGATTTCCTGAATTGGGTGGGGGCATAAAGAAGGGGACCATGAAATCATGAACTTGTATCACACGGCAGAGGTATGTGCAGCGCATGGAGTTATATTTCTCGGCACAATCTTCCCGTGATTTTGGATTCCAAGTAGGATCAATAATTTAACATTCATACCCAAGTTGGCCCTATCGTTTGACATTCTTTAATCTTTATTCTTTACTAATAATTCAATGTGAAGAGTGAATGATTGAATGCAGGGTAGGTTGATAGGGTTTAATTTAAAACAGATTATCTCGATCTTCACATGACCAATATTTATATTTTTCTTCTCGATCTTCCTTCTATCGCCATCAGCTATTGGTTGTGTAGTGGCTATTGTGAGAAGAAGAACGTGACAATAACCCCTTAACAGCTGCACTGCATTATTATGGGTTATGTTATATAGTGATATGGATATGTCGGTGATGGTCGGTACATGCAATAATTTGAGATTTCTCACTACAAAAACAAGTAATATTTATGTGTATTTAAAAAGAAGAATAGTATTATTTATAGTTCAGCTATATAAAATAAATGGTCGAGTTGGAAGGGAATCTCGCATTATGTACGATGAGATTAGTTTTGGTGTGAAATTATTCATACTTGAAACGTTACTTCCTTATGGCGCGTTTATGACTGTAAATAGCAATTGTAAAATTGAACTCTAATGTCCTTTTTCTTTAGCGCATGCTAAAGAATGTCAGGTAGTAAAACTACTTGATGTTTAACTTAATGCAGAGAACAAAACTCTACAAAGAGGATCACATCGACCACGTGAGACAGCACGTGATACACTTTCTCGGCCACCGAGACAGTCGAAACAGAGGATGTTTATCAAAATACAGTAGTCTTAGACTTGTCGGCTACCGAGACAGCTGAGATGGAAAAGCCTCTACATCACTGGATTTATCACGGTTCTCGGATTTGTCGGCAACCGAAACGGCCGAACCTACAGGGCCCTTTACGCCCAAAACGTCGAAGACTCGACCATAGTAGTAACCTAACTAGTCGACCAAATAACGTCTCGACTCGGCCCGAGGCCGAGACCCGAAGAACAGCTTCAGCCTTATACCTTTCGACTTGGCCAATGGCCGAGACGACTAAATATAACAATTAGAACGACGATCATGATTAACTAGGATAAACACATGATTAAGGCATAATCAGCCGTTTAGTACCGTATTACCTAATTTAGTAATTGTCGGAGAAGGCCTGTCACATTCAGGGTCCATTATAAGTAATATAAATAAGTCACGTAAAACGAGGTATGTTACTGTTCATTTATTACTATCGAGATTCGTCCTTGTCCTGACTTGAGCGTCGGAGTGCCTTTTGCAGGTATCCTTCCCCTTTTAGAACGTTCTTTTGGAGCTCTTATTCGACCTTCAAACTTAGAAGATTACGAGTGTATCCTTAGGCAGATACAAAAACTCATTCATCAATTAATCGGTAGGTAACATGTCTTTGGTCAAATTGTCCATTATGTTTAGCGGGTAAGCATGGAATTAGCATAAGATTTCATTATTGATGAGACATAGAGATAAGGACCAAGATGACTAGTTCAGATAGAGCTAGACACTGTAAAATACATCATTCATTGTGACTAGGCCGAAAGAATGATAAATTGTTGAAATTAATATATAGCATACATTTGTGCCCAAAAAAAGTTCGATTAAATGGTGCACACTTGTGTTATTTCTCTAGCAATGACTGACTATATCACATTGGGATGATTTGACAAAAGTAGCTAACAAATGTTCTTATGCTTGGCTTTGACCATCTCCCTTTTTACTTGCCATGCAAAATCCTAGTTTTTAGTTTCTACTTTCATGTCTCGAATTAGACATTGTTCAAGCTCCATTCATTAGTTCATAATAGTTTTTGTTCTAATAAGTAAAAAAATTTAACATTATTTAAGATTCATTTTAGAATATCATCTATAAAAACTCTTTTCTCTTAACTTATTCAACAACTTTTTAGTACAAAATTGGTGATATCTACTACACACTAAAGTGGATAATACTTTAAATGTGTCATTCTACCGATGTTGATAAGATCACAAGATAAGGCAATCCAAAGGTTTTGCGAAATGGGTATGAGCTGACATAAGCGGATCGAGTAATAAATAATATGCAAGTGAGGATGCATCCCAAAGAAGAAAAAAGGCAGGAAAAGTACTCAAGAGAACACAAATCTCACTACAATATGGAAATATCTTGTGGACAAAAATATAACATGATCTGCCTATGTTCCCATGAATGATGTATTTGAATGACTGCATGGTCCAGAAATGAGAAGAAAAAAAATGTGTCCTCGTCAACATGGAAAATATCTCGATGATTATCAGCACATGTAAAATATCTAAATGCAATTCGAAGGGAATATAATTGCCTGTTGAGATATTGAGAGAAATGTTATTTAGATATTTGGTATAATGAGGGAATTATTCTCTATTTTTTCAATTAAAAAAATTATGTTCTCTTTCCATCATTTGATTATAGATAGGTAAAGCAAAATGCTAAATCGCTAACCAGTGCCTTGGGAGAACTTGTTAAGAAATTAAAAGAAGATTTTTTTTTATATTAAGAAATGTATTTGTACATTCTCACATGTAACTTGTAATTTTATTGATAAAAACTTTCTACTAATTAATTTCTTAACTAGTATTTTTATTTATTCAATAAACTTTGGGTTTCACTTCTTTTAAATAAGTATCTAAAAAGAGAGTCCATTTTTAGGACGTCTTTATAGATTCATATTTCTTTTTTCTTGGACTTCTATTAAGAAGGCAATACAACAACGATTTTATGTTTGAGATTTTGATTTAGGATTGAGGAAGGTAAAATTTTCCTTTGGTATGATAGATGGCCTCAACAAGGATCTCTATGTAATTTAGTTGACTATGTGCATATTAGTGATGTGAATATGGAACTTCACCATCTCTTTCATAATGAGAATTGGAATTAGAATCTTTTGTCAACCCCTCTCTCTCATTTGACTAAAGATCTCATTATTAGTTCCTTTATTAATAATGTAATTAGTTACTCCACCAAATTTGCTTATAAGTGGATCACTCGAACCTGTTTTACCTGTAGCAGTTTGCTTGATTCCCAAATTTGGTCGTGGTCTTTTCCAATCCCAATTAAACACATTTTGTGGCTTTCTAGCCACCTATCTTTACCAACCAACGCTCTTGGAGTTAAAAACTCTTCTTTTATAGGTGTGGTGCTTTTTTGGAGAACTTTTTTCATGTATTGAGAGACTATAGTAAAGTTAAGTAGATTTGAAGCTCTTTTGATTTCATTTGGCAAGATGATGATGATGATGACTTTCACATTTGGCTGAGAGATAATTCAACTAGTAGGAAAGGTATGCTTTGCAATCACTAGGACAATCTGGAGTTTATCAAGATTTTGTTTGGCATGAGTGCTATGTGTTCAACTAAATCAACACCATAGTATTTCTATCCATTTCGACTTTTAATATAAAAAAATTTGTTTCTGTCGACCATTTTCTAGTCAAGTGTTGATAGACCATGGGCCAAGGGCCCAGTGACCAGAGCTATTTGCAAAGAACAATTCAAGAGGATCTATGACTACAGTCATGAACTAATCAGATCTAACCCAGGTTCTATAGTGAAGGTGAAGGTTGATGACAATCAAAATTGTGAGAATAATGCTAGGAATAATGTTGAAGGGCCTAGTAGAGTACTTGCATCCTTTCAAAGAATTTATATCTGTTTTCAAGGTTGCAAACAAAGTTTCTTAAAGTGTAGACCCATAATAGGCTTAGATGGATGTTTTCCAAAGGGTTATTATGGTGGCCAATTATTGGCAGCAATTGGAAGAGATCCAAATAAGCAAATGCTGCCAATATATTTTGCAGTTGTTGAAGGCGAGACTAAAGACTCATGGGAGTGGTTTTTACACCTCCTAATTTCTGATATTGGAGGATTTTTAGCTTGTGTCAATTACACATGTATTTTTTATCAGCAAAAGGTATAATTTTATTTTTGTTTACTAATATAGTTGAGAATTATTATATTGATTGATTCTGTGTGTAATATTTTTTTTGTAGGGGTTGCTGCCAGCAATCAATGAATTGTTGCCTGGTGTCGATCAGAGGTTTTGTGTTAGACACCTTTACAATAATTTTAGGAAGACGTTTCCTGAAAAAAATTAAAGGATTTGATGTGCAAGGCAGCTACAACCACATATCCTCAAGCATGGGCAACATATGAAGTTGTATATCAATCAATGATATATCTAGTAAATGGCCAGAAGCTCTAGACGAAGACATTGTGCCCTAATATTTTTCCACCGCCAAGTAAGAAAATGCTAGGACGCCCAAAGGAAAGAAGAAATTTGGAGCCATGGGAACTGAAGAAGGCTGGCACTCAATTGAAAAGAAGTTGATATAGGAGAAAG